TTCCTTTCCTCCGTCTACTTCCTTTTCTTTTGTAGGAGGCACCAGTTCTTCTTCCCTCCGAGCGTAACCAAATATGCAATTTTTCGGCTCACTATCTTCATGGCTATTCTCAACTGGCTACCTCACAATAACCAAAGGATGCGTTGGTTCTATGTTGTCACTAGAATCGTTACTTGTCACTTTCTCCATAGCACCTTAGATTCCCAGACTAGCCGTACTCTTTCGCTTTGCACAATCCAATTTGGAGATTGGGCTTTTTATAGCGTAGGTTCACGACGGTAACAGTCGGGGTAGTTAAAAAGCAAGTTGTCGCTGTCGGCCGGAAGGACATAACGCTTCTTATATAACCCAGTGCACGCTTCATGCAACTAGAGACTGCAGATGTTACACTGCGTTCCACTCGACGAGTCACTAACTAATTCAGAACACTCCTCTTTATTGCACATAGCTGCTGATAGGAGCAACTGCTCATAGAAGACTAGGAAATGAGCCTACTTATCTCGGTAGCAAAATGAACATATGGGTGCTGAAGGAAAGACAAGTTTAACCTGAACCGGTTTGCAGTCGATCCGCGCGCCTATTAACTCTTACCTAGAGTAACCTGTTCACACTGTATTAGACTCGCTAAAGTAAAACAGGAATGTATCCGCCAAAGCATAAGTTGACTTCACAATAACGTCGCCATTCTCAAATTCCTGTCCTTGTTTACACAAGGCCTTCGAGGAAAAGTTTTCTTCAAGTTTAAGCTTGGGAGATCCACGTATTATGGTCAGCAGGCGGGTCTCAAGCATACATCTTAACAGTGGAAGCAGAGGCCTAGCATAGGTGGGGGGTGTAGTCCGCCCAGACTGCAGAGGACGGCATTTTTAGTACCGTCCATTTTCCCATACCAAATGTATTGAGCAAAATATCCGGATAAGCTGAGGGTTGATTTTAATATTACTCCGCATGACCAGTAACACGTTTGCGCTACGTGTCACATCTGTGCCAACATTCTTCCCAGCAGTCCGTTTAGTTGTCCCATTGTGGTCACTTTCACCACATCTACTTCAGTGTCCCAAACGATCATCCATTACATCGAAAAGCAATATGCGCTTTGCACTGAGCCGGTTGTATGACCTTCACGCGCCTATACTGCCCTCGGCCCGGGCGCAAATTTCATCCCCGCCCCCGGTGGCAAAACTAGTTGCTACGCCACTGAGTGGAAGATCCATCAAAGTACCAATTCTGTTAAGATTCCATCCCAGTAGTTCACAAGCCACATAACAGAGCGTGGTTACGATCCTTTTTAGAGGACCGAGGGAATGCTCACCACTGAAGAGTCCCAATAGGGCGAAACACGTCTGATGCTTTTCCGGACTAGACTCTGCTATGTAGCTTGTGAACTACTGGGATGAAAATCATAACAAAAACTACCAATTCGCAAGGAGTCTTTCTAATACAGGTGTCCAAATTTATTTTAAACCCTAAAAGGACCAGAGAACTTCCTAAGCAATCCTCAAAAATGCGAGAAACATGTAGCTAAGAGATTAACAGTAACTTAGGCTTCAAAGTCTTTTTGGATAACACGGAAACTGACCAAGTCAGATTATCTGCTGTTTTTCAATTACTGTTTCTAAGTTGGACTTTCGAAAAAGCCTGCAGGCTGAATCACAATAGACACGCCGTGACCTTTCACGTCGATGATGCGCCGCGCACACAGAGTTCCGGGCACACGATTCTTCTGTGATACACATAAAGCATCTCGTCGCAACCTCCAGGAGCATACGCGATATAGGAGTTAAAGTGAGGCGACATGCGTGTCGCGATGAGATTTACCTCACCCAAAGTTGAAGCAACACAGCTGGCCCCCTTAGTGAGCCAAAGTGAACGATAAAGGCGAAGGGTTTTCAGAAACAGCATTGTCCGACAAATGTATACCCTTATTGTTCTAGATTACAAGAGGCTTATCAAAAGATCGCGCTAGCATATACGAAGGCGTGGTAGGGATATATACCTTGCCGTAACCAATATGCTCCGACCATACGATTTCAGCCGGAATTTCGTGCAGTCGAGTGTCTGCTGATAGCGATAGGATCTCTGTGTGGAAAGAAACAGGCCAAGTCATCCTAGTTTGACTGTTTCGTATAAAATGCTTAACAGGCGGGCCAGGTGTTGGTGCATCTAGTTATCTGCTCCCTTAACGCGCATTTCGGTATTAACGAAAGGTGCGAGGTGCCTACAAATGGTGCTTGCAAGATGCTGGATTCCAATATGGAATTTAATTTGCCCGTACAGCTTCATCCAACTTAAAGCGCTTCTTCGACCTATCCAATCTTCATCCTGATGTGCTTTGGTCCTATCATCTGCCATCACTGCTTAGGGTGAGGCTTCTCTACTCAGGTTGTCTGTTGGTCAGAAAGATGAGATGTCTGCCTTTTAACCTACAAGTCACTGGTTCAAATCTACGTATATGCAGGCTGTTTCGTAGTTGGCAGTGGTCGCTTGGCATTGAAGCATCGGTACGAAATGTCGGCATACTTTTGGTTCCCTTCTCTCTTTTCTCTACTCGCTGAGTAGTATGCAGGAGTGTTTGCTAAAAGCGTCCCAATTACCGCATACCAGCCCGAAGGTAAAAGTTCATGCATACTTTTCTACACATTGCTCGTTTGGGCAGTTGGTTAGCTCTAGAGAGAAAACGTTGGTTGTCAATGCAGTCTTTGAGTGTTGCCTTGCAATTTTGGGGATAAATGCGCTTCCGTGACGTGTAGTGTCGTGTCGTTTATTCAGCTGTGCTTTTACGTCAGCTGGGCCTGTTCACGGTGTGTTCCACATAGCGGAATCTGCCCTACGAGAAGTGAAAGAGATCTAGCTATATTCATTTAGACTCATTTTGATCACTAAGTGAACGCGAGTGGTAGTAGTAGCAGCTGTAGTAGTTAGTTAGTTAGTAGTTGGTTTGATCACTGCTTGGTCATCATGACACATTAGCTGAAAGTGAGCAATGCACTTCGGCTATCATGCTCTCGTAGACGAACTAGCTTCTGAACGATATTTCTCTGTGTGACTACTGGATTCTAAACAGTATATCACATCTAGTGGCGTAGCCATCTCTTTCCCCCTTGATTCAAGGCGTGTGTCTCTGACTTGCAAACTACATGGTTGCGAGGGAGGTACACGCTACTAGCACCTCACAAGAAGGCTGAACTACCGTTAGCTTATACTGGTGAGTTGGGATTCTCTGACTGAATCTCACTGCAAGGAATTTACCATATTCCTCTCCATCGTTCCCCTATTTCCTAGCGTGGGCTCGTTTCGTCACCGCTACCTCGTACGGATATTTTTCATTTGCTTCTCGCTAAAGAGTGTGTTTCCTCATTTACCTGTTTGGCTCTGTGCTGTACTCACCTTAACGGCCAATTATCTCCCGCTGATCTACTTATAGACCAACGTCTCACATGAACCCTCGTCGTGTGGCGCATTGTGGTTGCTTAATTAGTTGCTGCTATTCATATCATAGGACATTGGTCTAAAATGTGCACAGCTATTGCTACTCCTCAGTTTTCTGTCCTGTCTTGTCAGAGTTATTGGCTACATGCTACATGAGTGTATTCTACCGCTCTCGGACGATCTTCGTATTGTGACGGCTACTTGGTTAGTTTGAGGATACTCGAAACATTGCTACCAGTTTACCTCTTGCGTTGATGTTCCGCGATGACCACTTCCAGCATCGTCTCAGATACCCTACATCACTTTTCTTAGTGACCCGGTACACTTACTTCTTCAATTCGGCAGCCACTTCGCTATTCTGTTTCCATTTTCGACGCCGCAGCACTCCATTATCTCTACTACTGTATATTACCGAATATAAGCCGAGGAATTTTGTACAATTTTTGTTTCTGTAGGGCGAGGTCGACTTATACCACTGTCATACTCGTTTCGAAAAAAAGTCACATATAAAACCCACCAAGGAATTCACTGTATACCTCTGTTCTTATCTTCCGTCAGCACCACCCGCTAATAACGGACGGTATTCCAGACAGAAATTTTAAGTGCCTGCAACTGGACACGTAACTATTATGTCGCAAATTTTCGGTATATCACACAACTAACGTACGCGACGGATGGCAATAGCGAATCCAAAGCCCTTAAACATTACGTTATGCCAGAGATCCGGTGCCTCAAAACTGAAACGTTGTCGCACACCCCTAATCGTGAACACTCATCCAATGCTTTACTGTGGTTCAGATACATGAGGCTCCGACTATGCGAGACCTGTCTGACACCCTCTCACCTCATCCTATATTGTCAGCTGTCTTGACTTTTTCATGTGACTTAACATATAGTCAAAGCACTGTGCGTTACGGTAAAAGTATTTTAATAGCCCTACCCCCCCCCCTTAATCGCGATTATAACATTACGGTCACCACAACTGACCAATAATAGAGCAAGTTTCACTTGAACTCACTCAATTGAGAGCAAGTGGTGATGACGTCGAAATCGTGGAGAAACAGTTTCATTTCTCTTTTGCTGATTTTTTAGGGTTCCGCTAATGCATAGACTTACGACTTTGGACAATTAGCTGTTGCAAAGTCATACTGTCGGCTTATCTATGGTCGGGCTTATATTTGGTAATGTGCGGCACTTTGTGTTATTTTGCTTTCATTGGCCCTATGTGACGGAAAGCAGAGAAATGGCTAACATTCATGTCGTCCTTATTCTCAACTGCTAGCACCATATCTGACCTTAGAGTTTTTCATTTTCTTATGATTTATCGTGATCAATTAATTGGGGCACTTTTCTTTGTGCTCCCGCATAGTTCATCTCTCATTTTGTCATCTTGTGAAGTAGGTAGCTTAGAAACTGCCAACGCTGCAGTGCTGCATTTTCTTTCCCCATTACGATTGGGGATAAGCTACATTAGCTTTATATTTTTAACTTTCGCTAGCCCTTCCAAATTGCACGTCTACAAGGAGCTGTTTATCGCATTCGTCTCGACGATTATCGTTTTTTCTCTCTAGCATGGAAGCCTTGAGAAGAGAAGTGATCGAGGCGGATCAAAACGCCAAGTTAAAAGCGGCATCGAATCTATCATATGGATATGGAGGCAAATTCGGAGTAGAGACTGATCGAATGGACAAGGTGAATTTTGTATTCGCAACCCTTTTTATGTTTTGAGAACTGGTTGTTTCCGTGTGGCAGTGGCTGATCTACTTACATTGTTTGCTTTGCATTTGACTCTCAGTTTCATCTTACCAGAATGTTTATCTGCCGCCATTGCTTACCGCGAAACGCCTTGGAATCAATCTTCCCGCTACTATCAGCAAGCTATTTCGTTTACTAATTTTATTATTACTGTTGGATACCCAGCTAACGGTACCACTCGATAGCTTAAGTAACGTAATCCACTTTTCGGTTTCTGTCCATTGACGCGAATGTAACTTCAGTAAATAACTTCAAGACGCTTAGCGGAGCACCATCACTTAATCACTGTGAGGAGCAGCGGCAGCAACAACGCATAAGGATGTTGTGTTGTCTCCCCACTACCATACAATTAATGATTGTGTATCTCCGTCGGTTTACTACCACCGCACCCAAATATTACTAGAAGGACAAGTAAAGGACCTTTAGTTCAAGTACCAAGCGGTCCTCAAGGTGCACCAGCCTTCTGGAATTGAGTGCCGTTTCAGTTCCAGCCTGCAGGACTAGGCAACCGAGTCTGGTGGACCCATAACCACTTACTAATCGGGATGGTTGTAGCTCGTTTTGGCTACTTGGGTGCCGATTAGTTCTCCGAGCCTAGCAGTTATATTGCAGACATTTCGCCACCAATCGAGATGGCATCTTCAGTGCGTGATAACAAATCCAGAGACTGATGCTGTCATCTATTGAGCTATACTGTGTATGTATACACCGAATGTGCGGCTGGTTGAAGCTTGTGATGGCAATATGCTGCCAGATTATTGGCTCACTGTTGCCTTTGTTCTGCCATGGGCTCATGTTCTGGACCTCTCGCGACGACAGGTGGGTAGGAATTGGATTGCAACCCTCTCATAGCTGAGAGCCAAAACACACGCATCCACATGTGTCGATCGACTCATTGCGCATCTCCTGCCGTCTTTTGGGAGTGCGTTTAATCCAAGGCTTCGGCTGGGGACCCGAGTCGTTTTCCTGCTACATATATCACTCCAACTAACAAATAAGACCTACACAACTACTGATAATCTCATGCTGCGTCGGCCATGGCGGTAGGATAAGAATCGCCTTACCTACTGCATGCAGCGGGATGAATGCAGGAAACTATCCCATCGTTGGCGCCTTCCTTCTTTCTTCTTCCTCCCCCCCCCTCCCCCACATTCTTCCCTCCTAGCCCTTATTCCGCCTGTCCCCACTCCCACAACTGACCAAGCGATTACCCGGGACAGTCGTATGTCTTCACAGAAGGCGCTCAACCTCGGATGCTAGAACGTTCACACATGACTGGACCGGAATGCGAATGAGCGGTCTGAGTGGCGCACTGCACTGGTCATAATGGAACTCGGTCGTTACAGCAATGATATCGCCGCACTGATTGAAAATCGACTTACTGACCAACTTAAGTTGTACAAAAATGGCACTGAGTGAGAAACGCCACCACTTGAGCATAGAGTCGGATTTGCACTCTCCGACCGCCTAAATGATCGGCTGGTGGCAGAGCCGACTTGCATCAGCCCATAGTTGATGACTCTAAGCCTGCGTCTTGGAAAAGGTAAAGTGGCCACTTTTAATTATACATATGGTCCCATCATGACACGGGAGATCAGTTTTACACTCAGTTGTCTTTCGTGATACGCTCCGTGCTGAGGAGCCCAGCGCACGCGTTTGGCATGATGCTGCAGTGTGGACAGACGCCATCGGTTCGTGTGGTAGTATTGACTCAGCCAACAGGAACCGTGAGCGGCTGCTCTCACTTTGCGCCACTCACGGCCTGACGATCGCAAACATGAAGTTCCTACTGGGTGTGAATGGGACTGCCAGTGGAGCGCACCCATGGGGTGGTCACGCTCATCTAATTAACTGTAACATGCGTGAAGTGCGCATGACACATGTACTGCGTGGAGCTGAGTGTGACGCTGATCATAAATTACTGCGGATCAAATCGTTCCCTTGTCGTGGATCAGCGGAACTTTAATGTTCCTTCGTTAGGTACTTTTTAGAACTGGAGCAAATTGAAGAATGCGATGGCACACGCGTTGGTCATATCGACTCCATCGCTTCCGTCAGCGACTTATGTCACCACCTCAAAGAATAGGTATCCGTTGCGGTCGAAGAAACGACTTGGCGCGCTGACTATCCAGTCTGCTTGGTCTGAGGACAACAGTGCTACTATTTTCGCATTGGTGTCAGAGAAAAATGCAGTTCTTCCTACGATTAAGGAAGACTGGTGACTCAGAGACGGTGAGTAAGTTTTGCAAATTGCGTATAATTTGGACTCGTGAGCTCCGTCGCATTCAACATGCATTGCGGGTAGAGAAGGCGAAGCAGATGGAAAACCGAATGCCGCCAACAAGGAGTTCTTTTACTTCTTGGAGGCTGTTTATGGAATCACCTTACAGCCACTGAGGACGCTGGTGGATGCTACTATGGGTGTTGCCTGCCCACAAACTGCAGACATAACACAGATCTGACAGAATCACTTCTACTATCTCTGGAAAAACCGTCTAGAAATTGGCTGGGCTATGATGCACTGGCTGCTATAACAAGAGGTGAAGAACGGTCTTGCCGGTCAGACCAAAGGCTCTGGATGGGGTTCCCTAAGTCAGCCTTCTTCCTCTGCCTGAACAACCGGGAAGCCACATGCCCCCATAACATATAAACCAATGCTCCAACGACTTTCTGCCCTTTGCCAGTGCTGCCATCAGCCAAGATGCTGGCGGCCGAACACAACTATATCGCACTCTACCACACCACAGTTCGGCTACTTTATTTCACCTTTGTTCAACTCCTCCATCCTTGGTAATCCTTCTCCGTTTCCGAGTCCACAACACCGTGCCGCCTTGGGCGAGTGTTCTCAGCATACGGATCAGGAATTTATGTCTGAGGGTGCGCAGCCAAGTAGTACAAACAAGCCTTTTCTAGCGTCCCATTCCTAATTCAAGCTGGTAACCTTTAACGTTCAGATGCCGATGTAGATCGGATCACAAGCAGCCCTGGCTCGCACGCTTGGGACTACTGCCATTGATAGCTGCTGCCTCACTAAAACCCGATTACATGACCCCTAGCTCGACGCTACGATTGGTTTCACCTTCCGCGATTTCCGCTGGCATTTTTACATTGCGCTTATCTGGAGACACAACCGCTGAAGCCGCTGGTTTTGCCGGCGTGGTGATTGCGTTGGCCACACATACTGAGACCGCGCTACCAGACTAGATCCCTGTCAACAGTTGACTCTGCGCAGTCCAACTTGAGACCTCAGTGCGACTTTCCAGTCGCGTCACTAGCATACGTTGCTTGTTCGTTGTTACAGCGTACACTCCCATAGAGTGTAGCCCGGAGTCAGTTCAAGATGAGTTCTGCTGTCAACCTTCCGACCTCCGAAAAAGCGCCGTACAAACATCGTGGGACTTGCAGGGGACTTAAACGCACGTGTCGGTAGACTTGCGGTTGTACAGCGGGAACTCGGTGGTCAACATGCTCGTGGCACTTGCAGAACAGACAACGGTGATCGCCTACTACGGCTCTGCGCCGATCGCGGCCTCTTCCTGTCGGGTACTAGCTTTTATTGATCCTGGCGCCAACGCGCGACCTGATGGCCCCTGTCTCCTGACTAGTCATGGACGCAGATTGACCACATCACCATCAGTTGTCGCTGGCGGGGTTGCTTGCAGGATTGTAAATCAATCTGGAGTACTTATGTCACTTCGGATCACGCGCTCGTGTGTGCCAAGATCGCTTTACACTTTTGTGTCTCCCAGCGGTGTCGTCGGAAACGGCTTGACTTGGCTAAACTTTCTGTCCCAAACGTTCCGGCCGCGTTTCATGATACGTTGGTGTCTGAACTCATATTACCTCATCGTCTGATTTTGATACTCACAGGACGTACATCCGCAGAGCCATGCACAATTCTGCGACCGTGGTCTGTTGTTTCACCACTAGTCCTGTCAACCACTAGATTTCTGCACGATCCCTCCGACTTCTAGAAACTCCTCGAGCAATTTCAGCTGGCGTTAAGTATCATTCACTACGCAGAACCACTAACGCTGAACTCAAGACGCCTCCAGAGGGTCGCGAAGCCTGGTGGACGCAACGGGTCATTGATATGGAGCAGGCGGCTAGCTCGGGGAATTTTCGGGAATCTCTTCTACCTGACTCACCAGCGACGGAAAGCCAACTGTAAGCGAAGTTCTGTGTGAAACCAATGGCGAGCTAATCCAATCAAAAACGCCGATTACAACGTTGGGCCGAGTATTTTGCTCTGCAGTTTAACTGGTCAGCAGCACCGATGTGTTCCCATTCAGGAATACATACTGCTCTCTGGTGTGTAGACGCTTCACCACCATCTAAGGCTAAGGAAGCTCATGAGCTTCGCCTCCTATAGCGCTACAAAGCATCTAGCCCTGAGGAATTCCCTCCGGCTCTTTTCAAAGGTGGAGTCCATCACTTATTCGGGAGTTAATTTCCCTCCCCCAAGAGCTTTGAGTCACTGAAGTTATCCCATCTGACTGGAGCCCAGCGGGTATCGTGCCCGTCTTCAAAAAGGGTACCCGAACTGACTTCGCCAATCACAGAGTGATTTGTCTCATCTGGGTTGCTGTCAAGGTGCTTACCGCTCTACTTTTAAGGAATTTCAACCTGATACGTAAACAGAGTATACGTAATGAGCAAGCTGGGTTCCGCTCAGATCGGACTTGCATCGATCACATCTTTACTCTTCGCCAAATACTCCAGCGTCGCCAGACATTTGCCGGTCAACGATCGTTATCTTATTAGACCTACGACCTGCGTTTGCCTCAGTTAATCGAGCTGTACTCTAAAACTGTCCTTTGTGATCGGGAGTGCCTGAGAAGTCCATCAACATTCTTCGAGTCACATACTCTACAGCCTCGGGCCTGGTGCAGGTGTACGGCGGACTTTCGCTCCGGTTTAGTATCACCAATGGCGTG